ATACCTTTTAAATATAAATTGAAGAACTGCTTTTCTAATTATATGTAAATGTGGTGATTTTATGCAATTAAGTAAAAAAGAAAATATAGAAGAGAAGTATATCTACATTTCTCTGACAATTTGTGTCGGATCGCTAAGATATTTAGACCCTTGAGTATATTGTTTGTGATTTTTGTTTGTTAAGTTTTTTCTGGTACTGGGGATCGAGCTCATGACCTTGCACTTGCCAGGCAGGTAACTGTGCCACTGAGCTATATATCTCCAACCTCTCTGAATATTATTTTTATGTGATTTTATCAAGTATCTCTGAATCAGAAAATAAATATTTTATATCTACAGTTCCCTTCACTTTTGGCAATAAAATTTGACTGCAGGGTGAGCATATGGTGTAAGTTTGATAATAAAAATAATCTATGCAGTAATTTATTTCAACATAGACCATTGACTCAAACTGGGAAACCTAGAATTTTCTCTGTGATTCTTAAACATATATATGGGCACTAAGAGAAGGTTGTATTACTCTGGAATCACAAATCACAAGGTTCATGCAACTTTTCAGTTGCTACATGTTACCAGCCTACTTGAAAATGAAGCCACCTAAGAATTGCATTTTCTTGACCTAGCTTTGGTACTTCATATGTTTCTAGGAAGCTGTCTATTTCTTCTGTGTTATCAAACCTATGAGAGTAGAGGTTTTCAAAATAGGTATTGATGATCTTCTGTATTTCTGTAGAGTCTGTAGTGATTTCACATTTTTCATTTCTTATTGCATGAATTTGAAGTTTTTTTTCCTTTTTTTAATAAGGTTGGTTAGGGGCTTATCAATTTTATTTATTCTTTCAAAGAACCAACTCTTTGATTCATTGATTCCCTGGATTATTTTCTTAGTGTCTATTGCATTGATTTCTGCTCCGATTTTTATAATTTCTGCCCTTCTTTTGGCTTTGACTTGCTCTTCTTTTTCCAGATATTTGAGGTGTAGCATCAGGTTATTTATTTGTATTCGTTCTGTTTTCCTGATGGAGGAACTCAGTGCAATAAATTTTTCTCTGAGGACAGCTTTCATTGCATCCCACAGATTCCAGTAAGTTGTATTTATATTTTCTTTTGCTTGTAGATATTGTTTAATTTCTTCTTTAATTTCCCCTGTGACCCACTGATTACTCTAGAGTGTGTCCATGTGTTTGTGGGATTTTTGCAGTATCTTTTATCATTAATTTCTAATTTCATGGTGCTATGATCCAATAAGATGCAAGGGATAATTTCAACTCTTTTGCATTTATTTAAATATGTTCTGTGAGCTAATATATGGTCTATTTTAGAGAATGACCCATGTACTGCTGAGAAGAATGTGTATTCTGATGTTGTTGGATGGAACATTCTGTATATTTCTATTAAGTCCATTTGTTCACAAGTGTGTTCACAGTTCGGTTATTTCTTTGCTGATTTTCTGTCTGGTTGATCTGTCCCTTGGTGTTAAATAGCATTTCTATATACTAACAACAAAATCACAGAGAGACAAATAAAAGAAATTGTACCCTTCACACTAGCAACCAAAAAAATGAAATATTTAGGAGTTATTCTCATGAAAGAAGTGAAAGATCTATATAGGGAAAATTATAATACACTGAAAAAAGAAATTGAAGATGATCTCAAAAATGGAAAGACATTCTTGCTCATGGATAAGAAGAATAAATATTGTGAAAATGACCATTCTGCCAAAACTCTTATACAGATTCAATGCAATCCCAATAAAAATACCATCAGCATACCTCACAGATCTAGAGAAATCATTCCTAAAATTCATCTGGAGCAAGAAGACACCTAGAATAGCAAAGACAGTTCTAAACAGCAAAGGCAAGGCAGGAAGCATCACAATTGCTGACTTGAAGTTATACTACAAAGCAACTGTAGTAAAATCAACATGGTACTGGAATATAAACAGATGTGAAGATCAACTGAATAGATAAGAAGAAAAACCACAACTACAAACACACTCAACTACCTTATCTTCGATAAAGGGGCCAAACATGTTCCTTGGAATAATGACAGTCTCTTTAACAAATGGTGTTGGAAAATTTGGCTTTCCATATGCCGAAAACTAAAACTAGATCCATGCCTCTCACCATGTATTAAATTAAAAATTAAATGGATCAAAGATCTGAATATTAGAGCAGAAACACTAAATCTACTGGAAGACAAATTGGGTACAACCCTTGAACACATAGAGGTAGGTAGAGAATTCATGAACAGGAATCAAACCTCATGGGAAATACTTCCCAGAATCAATAACTGAGATCACCTGTTATTAAAAAGTTTCTGCATGTCAAAAGAAAGCATTGTGAAACATAATAAAAAGAAAACCCACAAACTGGGAAAAAATCATAATGAACTGTAACTTGGACAAACGACTTCTGTCAAATACATATAAAGAATTAAAAAAAATCAGACCCCAAAATTCAAAGTCCCAATCCAAAAATGGACATCTGAGATGAATACACAGTTCTCAGATGAAGAAATACAAATGGCAAATAAATACATGAAAAAACGTTCATCATCATTGGTCATTAGAGAAATGCAAATTAAAACCACACTGAGATTCCATCTCACTCCTGAAAGAATGGCCAGGATCAAGAAAACCAGCAACAACAAATGCTGGAGGGACTGTGGGGAAAAAGGAACTCTCCTGCACTGTTGGTGGGAGGGCAGACTGGTGCAACCACTGTGGAGGTCAGTCTGGAGATTTAGCAAAAAGCTGGGATTGGAAGCCCCATTTGTTCCAGCTATTCTACTTCTAGCATATTCTCAGAAGAATTAAAAGTATCATGCCACAGTGATATATGTGCACCCATATTTATGCAGCACAATTTGTAATAGCTAGATCTTGGAAACAACCTAGGTGTCCATCAACTGAGGAATGAATAAAAAAGTTGTGGTATTTTTATACAATGGAGTACTATTCAGCTATAAAGAATGATCACATTGAGATATTTATAAATAAATGCACACAGTTTGAGACAATACTCATAAGTGAAATAAATCAAACTCACATGTATAAATACCGAAGTTTCCCTAGTGTAAAAAATGGTAAGAATACATAAAAGTATGTGGTAATCATGATTCCCCATTATATTGCTTTGAGGCCTTATAATATTTTCATTCATTAGTTTGAATGACTTTATTCTGGGTTGTTTGATTTTATTGTCTGTGATGGCATGAACAGCTATTTTGAAAAAAACAAGACATTATAATAGCTAGTGCTGATTTAATATCAGCTTGTTTTGAAGTCCCATTAAGTTTTTGTTCTTCTGTCTGCATCGGTTTTATCATGTTGCATCTTATTGGATTTTATTATATGTGATAGTACAAACAAAATTTTTTATAGACAAGGAGATAATATAAAAACAATTGTTCATTCTCTGTTAGTTGGTTCTAAATATCCTGTAATACTTTCATCCTTTTGAATGGTTTTACACTGTCTTGTTATGTTTGATGCTATAGTATGCAAAGGTATACTCAAATATTTCAAGGAAAGATATACTATAGTAATACTGTTATGTCGGGTTATCTTGTGGTTAAACACTGTGTTGCCTAAATTGTTCTGTTCTGTCCTATGTTGTTATGTCCTCTTTCATCTTAATCTCCTTTTTTTAAATAAAAATTGAAATGGTTAGAGAAACAGATTTTAGTTTACTGTGTGAAGAATTAGCACCAAAGGGTAGCTCGATGTGCACAATGAATTTGTAATGTACATTACCTTGTTTCTAAGTGAAGTTACTTTATTTACAGAGTGCAGTCCAAAGTAGCATGACCTGTCTTTGCACTAGTGTTATAGTACTACACTTTCATTTCCCCTCACTTAGATACACAGTCCAGCCAGGTGCAGTGGTGCACCTATAATGCCAGGGCTCAGTAGGCTAAAGCAGGAGGATTTCTGTGGGTTCAAGGCCAGCCTTGGCTACACAGTGAGTTCAAAGGAGGCCTGAGCTGCATACTACATAGCAACACCCTGCAGAAAGAAAGTCAGAAAGAAAAAAAGAAAGAAAGAAAGAAAGAAAGAAAGAAAGAAAGGAAAGAAAGAAACAGACACGAATCATTCTTGAAAACAATATTCTATCTCTTAATAGTCAGAATATATTAATGGAAAGGCTGGTTACTTTTACAATAGAGAAGGATGCAGGGGCAAAGTTTATGTAACCATTTGAAGCCCTCTCCAGGGATCCCCTAGCATTCCATCAGACTTTTAGAGTCAGTAAATGTCAAGGTTTCAGAGTCTGTGTACTGACTTAATACTACTAAGTTATGGGCTAGGGATTCAGCCCAGTGGCACAACACTTGACTGGCAAGCATAGGATCCTGAGTTTGATTCATGGTACCAAAATCATGATCATAATCATAATCATAAGTTAGTTTCTGTCAATATTTTGGATTGTGATCCATGAGTCCTAATTGAATCTAGAGAACAACCAGTTACCAAGTTTCAAATATTTTTCTAAGCAAAATCACAACTATTATGGTCTTAAATAAATCACATTTTCTCTCAACTTGAATAACTTAGGTTATGCATTTATGATTTGCACTTTCCTTAAAGTTAAATTATGGGATGATGATAGCATGATATTTAGATAGGGATCAAGCTCAGCACGGGAGACGTTTCTAAACATTAAGAACTGGGCCTGTAGCTCAGTGGTAAAACACTTGCCTAGTGTGTGTGGTGCCCTGTGTTCCATTTCTGCTAATACGCACAAAAAATTAATGACAACATTTGTTTTCCTCCCAAATGTTGAAATGCTATCAACATTTGTTGATAGCAACATCATTCACAATACCCAAAAGGTGAAAACAACTCACATGTCCTTCGACAGGTGAAGAAATAAGCAAAATGTATTATATGCAAAGGAATAACATTAATTCTTTTTAAAAAGTAGCTCTGACTGATGCTACAACATGGATGACTCAAAGGACATTCTGTTAAGTGAAAAGTGTATTGAAGACAGATGCTTTATATAATTCCATTTATTTGAGTAGTCAAACTAACATACAGAAAATATAATAGCATTTCCAGTTCCTGGGGGTGAGGTAGATAAGGGAAATGTTGTTTAATAGGCATGGAATTTCTATTGGAAATGATTAAAAAGTCTCTGGAGATGGAACAGATAATGGTTGCTCAACACTGCAAATGTACTAATGCCACCTGAGCAGTGCATTTAAGATGGTGTAAATGTTAAATTTGATGTTATACATACTTCACTACAATTTAAATTTTTTGAAGAATTTTATTTTTTCATACCTTGGATTTCACTGAACTATCTCCAGAGCATATGTGAGATTGCTGAATGAGAATGGGTAGTGCTAGTTTTCTGGGTTTTTTCTCTAGCAGATGTAGTTTAAGAACATGCCAATCTGATTTGCAACAACATATTCAGGTGGGTGCACATCATTAGTGAAATATGCAGTTGTCATGTCCCAGGCATCAATAATACCCACATTGAGATCTGCAAAAACATCCCTCAGGATAAGATTCTGAACATATCCATGAAAATCACTGAACATCTCTGCATTTCGATGTATTTCTCGGGTGTTTTCAGTTTTTAGTATCACCTTGGTCTCTGGGCTTCGTAAGAGTAGACGTTCAACGGCCTTTCTAATATTGATTGCCCTGCGGATGAAAATGCTGATGGGGAAAGGTCTGAAGTGCTGGCCGATGGTGATGACAATTGCTGTGTCTCTGTCTCCTGCCACCTGGTCAATTTCTCGTGGGATATAGTTTTCATCTTTCACTGAGAATACCTGTTGCGTAACAAACGGATGACTGTGTTTTCTCCACTGAATCAAAATGTGTCTGTTAACATCCAGAAGAATATGTGTTTTAAAGATTCCGCTTCCATGATGGTCAAAAGTTTGTAAGGCTGATGGAAAACAAATGAATAAATCTTTTAACAAAAGGAAAAACTTTGAAACATATGGAACATTTGAAAAATTCTAACCAATATCATTACTAGAGAATCGCTACTTATGCAGTGTAGAAAATTTTACTAGAAGAATTGCAATCATAATATATTCTGATCTTTTTTTTACAGAATACATGAAGAGAAAAAAATATCTATGTTAACATCTGTGATTGAAAAAATACATTTTAACTTTTTATTATAAGCCCAAAGCCACGTTTGGTAAATTAAAAATAATGACATAACAACGATCACAAAAGGAAAGTAAAAAAAATTCTAATCATTAGTTTTTAGAACTTCAAAAATCAACAATTACTTCAAAATAAAAATAAAATACATACTTTGAATAACTTTTTTAAAATAGTAAATCCACTGGCGTAGTGTTGAATCTCCCATGAGGTAAATAAGTTTTCTTTGCAAGCAGTCATTTACACTTTTTGCAGTATTGAACTTGGTTTGTTTGCAAAACGTTGTTATCCAACTTCCTTTGAAAGTGTAACCGCTGGGGAAAGGACTCTTCATTCCCACCTGGCATTTCTGTTCTGCCTTCGCGTTCTCTGGCAATAAAAATTCCCAGGTAAGTCATTTTTATTACTGTAAATTATTGGTGAACTACTTTTCTCACTTCCCCTTCCTTTTCTTTTTCCTTTTCAGCCTTCTTCTCATGTCTTTTCCTAACTACTGTTGCACAAATATTTATTTAATGGAATCATGTCCGGGGAATGAATTTAAAGTTCTCACTGAATAGTTCTGTATGGAGTAGAGGTCAGTTTACCCTGTGCATTCACAGTGCCTCCTTGGCGTCCACCTGACCTGCAAGGTCACTCAACTTTGTCACAGCCAACCGAAGTTAGAAGAAAACATGTAGCCATGAAATAGCAGAGCTCAGTCATCTGACTGAACATTCACCATTGACACTGGCTTTGCTAACTTTAACTCTCTTCCTCCTGAAACTATTTTCCCATGAAAGAAGCTTGAAAATATTTATAAAATGAGCTAGCATTTTTGTTAATATACTGACTTTAATATTAATTATTGTTAACATTTATTTTGTGTGTTCCAAGATCATTATTCTTATTGTGATGTGACTAGTGTGGAAATAAAAAATTAGGACCATAACTTTTTGTTCTAAATGCTCCACTACTAAAATAACCTAAACTTTGATCACCAATTCCTTTTGAGTTTTCTCCCAGGTGAGAGACTGAAGTCACTTGTATATTTTCTGTCCAAAGGCACATTTTTGTCATTATGTGCATTGTTGAAATTTGAGGTGTAAGTTCAGGACGTTATCTTTATTCACACTGAATTATATCAGATCTAGGGCTTCTAAAAATTAATATAACAATCTCTTTTAAAAACTGCCTGACATAGGTAGGGCCAGGGATTTAGCTCAGTGGTGTAAGCACCTGCCAGGCAAGTACACGGTCATGAGTTTGATCCCTGCTACAAAAAAAAAAAAAAAAAATCCAAACAATTTTCAAACTGCCTGATATAGTAGAAATTACTATCCAAGCGGAAGAGAAGCAATAAAGGTATAATGAAGAATCAAGAATTGCCTCAAGAATCTTAAGAACTTCTTTGGTATAAAAGTTGGGCAGGGACGATGGTTGCCCGGGCAGAAAAGTGATGCCCTTCTCACAGACTCTGAGTTTTAGGTCTGGGTTCTTGATTTGTTTATATGTGTGTTCTCCAAGCATTTAGTGGAGTGCTTTGCATGCAGTAGGTCTACAGTAAACATTTGCATGAAGAAGAAATAGTGAGTAAAGGTATACCTAGTAAATGTTATAGGAAGAAAGAAAATGCTAGCAAAAATCAGCCTCTCTGAGATTTGAAATGGCAAATTGATGAAGAAAAAAAGAAAGAGTAGATCATCAGAAAATGAAGGATGTATTGGAAGCTGTGGAGAAGTTGGAAAGACCATTCACAAAATTAAAAAAAAAAAAAAGGAAATAACTTAGACTGTTTTCCTGGCTCTTGAGGCTCACAAGGAGGAGAATCTAGCTCTTCAGAAGTAAGGTAAGCACTTACTAGGAGATCCTGGGTGAAGTGGTAATAGAGCTCATGACCACTGGGAATTGCAAAAGGACATGGGACTTTGCTCTGAGGGGACTGCTTTCCTTCGGTAAGCAGTAGCTAGAAACAGGCTTAAGTGTGGGCTCACTTTATTGGCAAATACTAATTAGTCAAGTACCATTTCAGGAAGGGGTTCATTATTGAAATCTGGGACTCAAAATAACTCAGTACAACCTCCTTTCAGGGACCCTAGTGTTAGTCTCCCCAGGTATCGGGTAGGAAACAGCCACAGGATACAGCCACAGACAGGAAGCAGGATAGAGTGAGACCCCCCAACAGTTTAAATTAAGGCTGGAAAAGATACAAGTCCAGTGCCCCACAGTGAGAAGCCAGTCCTGGTTTGAGCTGTCTTCAGAAACAAATGGGACTAAAAGAGCTACCAGCATTAAGTACTTGAACTTCTACACTGCTGCCTACATCTGCCACAGATCTGAGGTCCGATTGCCTTTCCTACCACCAATGTGAGTGAGGATACATCTCAGTGTGGACACTGTCATAAGCTGGGATTAAAATAGGGGTCTCTGGAGTAAGGGTAGGTGGAGAAAACTGAGGCTTGATCCCTCTAAAACTGTGGATACTAGAAAAAATGTATTCCCTTAAAAATGCAGAGAAAAAAAGACTTCCCTGTTTTTGGACTTTATTTCCTATTTTCTTTTTCCTTTTAATTTGCCTATTTTCTTCTCCATATTTTCTCCCTGTTTTTTTGTCTTCTATTCCGCATCCTTCCTGTCCCTTTTATCAAATTCTATAAATATCTTTTTACACCATAATGGAATTTCTAAAAGTCACCTTTCTCCTCCTTCTCCACTCGCATTGTTCAATTGTTTGAATCCTTCTTCTTGGTGTCTCCCATTTCCAACCATTTATCTTTAATGCTATTAACCATTCAGCTTTATTAATCTTTAAATAGTTAATTCTGTGACACCACTTTTGACTTCTTTTCTAACATTAATAGACGGATAGCTATCACATTAGTAGATGGTCCCTATATGTCAGTATTTGATGTCAGTTAAGATTTATATTGCAGGTGTCAGTTAAGATTTATATTGTAATTGTAAATATTTTTGCTAAGGTTAAGGGTGATATTACTGGTACTCATGTCAACATACAGCTTGTCTTGGAAGATCTTACTATTGCTTATTTATTTGATACTGCCAAGGTCAACTTGTTGTAGTTATTAATAGGTTTTCTCTGTGTGGCAATACCTATATTACCTTTGTGACATTAACAATACTGGGGTCCATTAACAGAGAATCGGACATTTTCCCAATTACACTGAATCGCATGCCCCAATCTATATTAACAGAGGCAGTCAGAACTTGGAACAGGAAAAAAGGACTACAGTTAGTCATACCTGAGCACATCACTGAAATGTAGACTAATTAAAGAGATCTCCATACTAGGAGCAAAGTCACAATCAGTGACCACAGCCTAAGCACAAAACCTCAAATCAATAGCAACAACAACAAAAATTGAAACACGGGAAGACAAGGCAACAAATGCTTCTTAAAATTCCTAATTTCCCCAGAGCTGATCAAGGGGCATCAAAGGGGAGGAAAGTGCAAGACACACAGCCATACTGTTCCCAACGACTACAGAGGAGATCAAAATATAGACCAATAAGCCGCTGAGTGGATTCACAGAAAATATAATGAATCAGACAATAGAGGTAATAAATAAGACAATCAAGGATACTCACAGACTGAAAGTCAAAGGATGGAAAACAATACCTCACGCAACAGGAATCAAAAAAAAAAGCAGGAGTAACCATTCTGTTTGCCGACAATGTGAACTTTAAACCAACGATTATCAGAAGAGACAAAAAAGGTCACTACGTACTCGTTAGGGAAAAATTACAAGAGGAAGAGATAACTATCTTAAATATATATGCACCAAATTCCAGAGCACCCAGTTATATAAAACAAGTATTAACAAAAATGAAAAATCAAATTATCAGTAACACAATTGTAACCTTAGCACACCATTGCCACCAAGAGACAGATCAACCAGACAGTAATCAGCAAAGAAATAATAGAACTGTGAACAAATGGACTTGGTAGACATATACAGAGTGTTCCACCCAACAACATCAGAATACACATTCTTCTCAGCCGTACATGGGTCATTCTCTAAAATAGACCATATATTAGCTCACAGAACATATTTAAATAAATGCAAAAGAGTTGAAATCATCCCTTGCAGGTTATTGGATCATAGCACCATGAAATTAGAAATTAATGATAAAAGATACTGCAAAAATTCCACAAACATATGGAAACTGAATAACACACTCTTGAGTAATCAGTAGGTCACAGGGGAAATTAAAGAAGAAATTAAACAATACCTACAAGCAAAAGAAAATACAAATACAACTTACTGGAATCTGTGGGATGCAATAAAAGCTGTCCTCAGAGGAAAATTTATTGCACTGAGTTCCTCCATCAGGAAAACAGAAAGAATACAAATAAATAACCTGATGCTACACCTCAAACATCTAGAAAAAGAAGAACAAGTCAAGCCCAAAGCCAAAAGAAGGGAGGAAATTATAAACATCGGAGCAGAAATCAATGCAATAGACACTAAGAAAACAATCCAAGGAATCAATGAATCAAAGAGTTGGTTCTTTGAAAGAATAAATAAAATTGATAATCCCCTAACCAACCTTATTAAAAAAGGGAAGAAAAAGCTCAAATTCATGCAATAAGAAATGAAAAATGTGAAATCACTACAGACTCTGTAGAAATATAGAAGATCATCAATACCTATTTTGAAAACTCTACTCTCATAGGTTTGATAACAGAGAAGAAATAGACATTTCTAGAAACATATGAAGTACCAAAACTATGTCAAGAAGATGTAAAACTGCTGAATAACCCAATTTCTATTAATGAATTGAAAATGTAATTAAGTCCTTACCTACAAAGAAGAGCCCAGGACCAGACAGATTCAGAGCAGAATTCTACAAGAAGTACAAAGAAGACTTAATGCCGATATTCCTCAAACTCTTCAGTGAGACTGAAAGGGAAGCAATCCTTCCTAAATCATTTCTGGAAGCAAATATTACTCTAGTACCAAAACCTGGGAAAGACCCAACTACAAAAGAGAACTATAGCTCAATCTCCCTAATGAACACATATACAAAAATCCTCAATAAAATATTGGCAAATAGAATACAGCAAATAATCAAGAAGATTATACACCATGACCAAGTGGTATTCATCACAGGCATGCAGGGATGGCTCAACATACATAAATCAATAAATGCAATTCACTATATCAATAAAGCCAAAAGTAAGAATTGCATGATCATCTCTATAGATGCAGAAAAAGCTTTTGATAAGGTCCAACATCCATTTATATAAGAACCTTACAGAAAATTCGAATAGATGGTCTTTACCACAATATAATAAAGGCCATCTGTGACAAACCAACAGCCAGTATCACACTAAATGCCCAAAAATTGAAAGCCTTTACTTTAAAATCA